CCACTCATCTCAGCCTCCCAAAGCGTGGGATTACAGGCTGAGCCACCGAGCCCGGCTACAGTCTCAATTTCTTTACGTGTAAAGTGGGGTCAATGATGCTTCCCTCACAGACTTATTGTGTGGAATCTATGGGATAATACATGTAAGCATGCCCTTTGTCCTCTTCTTGGGGGCAAGGAAGAAGAGAGCCCCTCTTGTGGAATTAACATTGAGAGACCTCTCTAGTCCCACCACTACCAGCCATTTTTCTTTCTGAATTAGATCGACACCAGCGTCCTCTTTTATTTCTTTGTCTTGGATTGTGTTTCATACATGGAAGGGTAAGAACATTCCCAAATGCCACTACGAATGACCACAGGGGAGCTATTATAGTATTAGTAACATCTAATGTTTATCAAATAATCACCACTTGTCAGACACAGTTGTAATGGGCTTTACATATATTACCCCATTTAATCCTCATAACAACTCAACAAGGTGGGTAATATCCTAGACGAGGAAGTTGAGGCACAAAAATGTTAAAACAACTTGCCCAGGTAACATTGCTAGAAGTAGGTCAATAAACTCATATTGCAAGGATCCTTAACTTGGATTCTCTGTATCCAATGGCTTTAGGTGTGAACTCCCTGAAAAATATAGGCAAAATTTTGATTGTTGTGCTATGTGCATTTTTATGTGGGCCTTCCTTAGATTCCCAAAGGGGTCCACAGTATCCAAAAGATTTAACAAAGACCACCTTCTCATGGATTGGGGTCAGGATGAAAAAACGAGTTTGGGTATCCACTTGACTCAGCCCTGGGAATTCTGGAAAATTTCTTGAGTGGGAGAGGAGGCATCTCTTTCATGGACTCTGGGGGATACACTGGATGATCTGGAGAGGAGTCTGAGAAGGGGAAGACACCTGCCATGCTTCCCAAGATGAAGGACAACTGCTTCCTCTCCGTGGTTTCCCAAGAGTGGGGAAGCGAGGGTACAACCTTAGTCTAAGGAAGAGGAAGCTTGGAAAGACTGATAAAAGACTGGAAGGGCCCGATATACCATTTCCCCTCCCCTCCCAGCACTAGCAACCTCTCTGCATGACTCCACTCTTCCCACTCCCCTCAGTCTCCTATCCCTCCCCTGGATTCTGTTTCTTCCTCAGACTTCCCGGTCTCCTGATCCCTACACCTCCCCAGTCTCTCTGTAGATGTGGTGACGGCTCTTGCTCATTCCAGATTTCTTCAGTTTCTGTTAACTTTTTTTTTGAGAGCAGGATTTATCAAGAGGACAGGAAAACTCAACAGTGGGAGGGGACTTGAGGGGATTGCTCTCTGTTAACTTTTGTTGAGCGCCTAATGTGTGCTGGACAGAAATTCTCCAGCACTTCCCAAGGCCCCAACTTTCTAAGCTTTTGCCATTTTGATAAAGACTTATGGATTCTTAGACTCTCCGAAAGTGGGAGTTGGGAGGACTTGCCAAAGGCATCTGGAATCTCCTCTCTTGTTATAAAGATGAGGAATATGGAGGCTTTAGGAAATCTCGTAATGTGTGACAGTATAAGAAATACAGATGAAAATGGAAAGTCAAGTCCGGTGTTGGAGTGTCATCTACCTCAACATTCATTCATCTCTGCTAGATGCTAGCACG